ATCCCACCTATTAAATTTAATATAAACTTGAGAATTTAATACAGAATCAAAGAGAATCAAAGAGAATCATTAGGATTCTTACTGGAAATTCTGTAACAATTAATAATTTTGGCATTCTTCAGATTTCTGGATTTGATCTTATTTTTCGGAAAATTAAACATTCATAATGTTGATCTACAAGTGGTTTTTGATCACTTTTTTTTCTTTTTAAATATTTAGAGTTTCCAGTAAATTTTAGGCACTTAACACAATTTTAAATGCTAGTATTTGACCGCCCAAGAATTCGTGAAATTTTTGCAACTGATGTGCCTTTTTTTAAAAAACTTTTCAATAATAGAACGTTCAGCATTGGATAAGTCATTTTTGGAACCTATTTGAAGTATATGAAAATTTTTCTAATTTTTTATTCATTAAATAATAATTTAAACAATGACAAATATCTTTTGTTAACACACAGTAGCATGCAGGTGTAGTTTTAAGACTAATAATTGATCTTCAAAACCTTTGTGATATAATTTTGTATGACCCCTCTGTACAAGGATTGTTTAATTTCCAATTTTGAACTTTCCATACTGTATATAAAATCATGTATGAGATCACCGAAATAATGGTATTTTGTCTCGTTCTAGGCGACGCTGTTAAAAATTCTTTTCCGGTCGACATCAATCGTAAAATGACCATAGGGCATCTCAAGATACTAATAAAGAATGTGAAATCTCCGGAACTTGACAAATTTGCACCAGATAAACTGAATCTATGGAAGGTTGATATTCCTCAAAACAGAGAAAACCAGGAAATGAAAATACCCGTCGGAGTTGATATTGCAAAAGGATATGGAGGTATAGAGCTGACCTCATTCGAAACTATTGAAGAATATTTTCATCCGATACCCACTAGTACTAGCATCCGAATTATTGTACAACCGCCTACCATCACTAGTGAGTGTCTCTCAATGTTTTACCTCTCAAACAAAGATAATTTCGCGATTTTGCTTCCTATTTATAATGTATTATCACCTCTGTACTAGATAAAAGAAGCACTGATGTATCTCATGACATTGCAAACCTTGGATATCTGCCTCGGCGAGGTACGTATAAGTTGATATTCAATCACAATCTTATAATATATTTCTAACCTCAACTTAACTTCTTTAGGTGGCCTTGGTGGTACGTCTCTACCTATTGATCTGCGGATAAGATCTTCCAATGAGGGTGTTAATATTAGTGACCCTGATGTCAGCCTAAGATTTGATATTATACCTCTTTTGATCAAAGATCTTATGGATAAAAAAGTCATACTTGTTCGAGCACCGCCATTTTCTGGAAAAACGTCAATAACCCAAATTATGGAGCATAACTTGGTTAATGCACCAGAATTTTCAAATTATAGAGTAATACGAGTTTCATTGCTTTGGAGATTGCACATCAGTTGGAATACATTTGGAGAGCGATGGAAAAGTATTGTTGGTGTAAGTTGGAAGAGTGGATAGAGCAGTGCGATTTAATTCCAACTATTTTGATTCTAGATGAAGCTCAATTAATTTACGCGAAGGAGAAAAAAGTTGATGAAAATAATATAGAATTTGCAGATCAATTCTGGTTGGTTGTTAAAGGTCTCCTTCAGGAAGTAGCTCGTATAAATAAAATATTATAATGTTTGCGGCCTATGGATATAGAAGTTCTAACTGTACAGGACTCGCAACTCCTGTCGCATTACCGGAATCAAATTGCAAAAGTCTTATTGACATCAATTTTAAGCGTGATGAGTTAAAAAAGTATATTGAAAAGTTCTGTGACAATTACTTCAAAAATTTAGATCCACCAAGCGTCTCAAAATTATATAAATATATTTGGATAGTTACAAAAGGACACGTGGGTTTAGTTCGTCATATCTTGATGTCTACAGAAAAAGCAATGAAGAATCAAATTGATACCAATCACCTATTTTGGGAGGAAATATTCAAGTATTTTAATTCAGAAAACTTCAATTCAACTATCTATGTCAACTGCCGTGCTGTACCAAAAGTTTCTGCACTTTCTGATACGCAAAGAATCATATGCGAAAAAATTTACTTAAATGGAAAAATTCGTTACATAGATTCTAATGAGGATCATGTGTATTTGGTCAAATCTGGAATCATT